GTTCTTCCCAGAAGTATCCATCCCCAGTGATCTGCTCCATGTCAAGGTCTCCTCCATCCTCATCTTCAGGGGCACCAAAGCACACCCCTTCTGGGTCATTCTGCCACTCTCCTCCATTCCTCCTTAGGACCCATGTGACCACTTCCATTAGATACAGCCAGTCGACCCCCAGGAGTATGGGGCAGGGGAGAGTTTCTGCTGGTCCCACTGCAATTTCCTCTGTGTGGCCCATCACTGATAGAAGCTGCTGGCTCTCATAGGTATATGAGACCCCATGGATACAGACCATGCTCACCGGGGTCTTGGGGCTCCCCAGTTGTGTGGGGACAAGATCCACCTGTATCATGGACTGGGAACAGCCCATATCAACAACTGTGGGGATGATTGTCCCTCCTACCTTGGCTGCAACCATGGGCTTGTTCTGCCACCCTGGGCCTTTATGCCAGCTGAAGCTACAGTCCATTTTTTCATCAGGTGGACTGTCTATTGGCATCTTGGTTTGGGGTTTGTGTGGGCAGAATCTGGACACGTGCCCCTTTTCTGCACATCAGTAGCATGTTATCTCCCTGGTGTCCCAGCCCCAGGACTCACGGTTCATAGCTCTGGTTTCCACTCCTTTGTTTCCTTTGTTGGGCCCTTCCAGGCATGTTCCAGTCCTGGTCCCTTGGAGGCGCTTCTTCCTGGGTCCTTCCCCATCTGCCTCCATGGCAACGCAGTTTTCCACCAGACACAGGGCTTCCTCCATAGTTTTCGGTTGGTGCAACCTCATCCAGCACTGGGTGTTGCCCCCAAGGTCAGTCAAGAAGTGCTTGAGGACTATGAGGTCCACCACCTCTTCTATGGACCATGTCTCAGGCGGGAGCCACCACTCCAACAGGTCCCTAAAGTTCTGGGCAAGCAGGCATGGGCGTAACCCTGCCATCCCCTTTTGGGCCCAGAACTACTGGCAGTAGGTCTTGGGGGATATTTTGAGGTGGTATAGTATCACCTCTTTTAATGTCCTGTAGTCTCAGGCCTCAATTCGGGTGAGCGCACAGTAAGTTGCTTGGGCAGGGCCAATGAGGAGGGGCCCTATTTGTATCACCCAGCTCCTTGGGTCCCATTTTGCAGCCATGGCTGTCCTCTCAAAGGCCTCCAGGTATGCCTCTACATTGCCCTGGGGGATCATCCTGGGAAACCAGTTGCCTTCCCCCTCCCTCCCTTGGGACGCCTGTTGGGCCTCGATTTTCTCACATAAGTCCTGCTGACAGAACAGCCAGATCCTTGCCTCGGCTTCTTGGGTTCGTACTCAGACTATCTCCTCCAGCTGTGCTTGCTGGCCCAGCAGCTGTTGTAAAGTAATATTGTGTGCCTGTTGCCAGGCAGTTGGGATTTGAACACCCATGGGAGACATGACTCTTCAGCATTTCCCCCATCAGGCCAGGTTCCTGACCAATGCACCAGTTAGTGAACTTGGCAGATGCATGCCCACAATCTCCCCTCAAGGTCTCACCTGCTACGACTTTGAAGATGGGAAAAAATGGTTAGATGTCAACCCCTGAGGGGTTAGATGTCAATCCCTGAGCACCAGAGACCACCCAGGAGTTAATTAACAAGGTGTGAAGGTTTATTGGACTTGGCTACAGTTGCTAATTGCTGCTCCCAATTACCTAATCAACTAAGAAACCAGGAGGATGCCACTCCCTTAATTGTCCAATTAACTCAGGAAGTGGGGAGAATGTCACTCTGCCCCAGTCACCATCTCTTCACTACTGTATGCACTCTGGGGCTTACATGATCTCGGGGCTTCCCTGGGGTGATCCCCTGATCCCTGTGGGTCCTGCCAGTCCCCACCATCCACTCTCTGTTGGGTAAGTGTTCCCCAACTCTCCCCATCTCCTCCAATCCGGTGCTTGATTGCTGGGGTTCTTCTCTCACTGCACTGCTGCTCCTTGTGGCTTTCTTCTTCTCTGGTGCCCTGAGGGTGGAGTCCCTGTCCTCCTGTCCTGCCTTTTGAGCATGGTGGTGTCCTAATTACCCTAATCTATCCCTGGTGTCCTAAACCTTCACCGCTGTGGTCCTGGTTCCTCTGGCTGTCCAGGGCCTGGGTCTATCTAGTAATGGGGCTTTGGCTTGAGCCCCTGTTACAGAAATAATTGTTAGTTTGAAAACAGTGTGAACTGCAGACTTAGCAAATTGTTCATTCACATTTTGAAACTTTAAAAAAAGTTGAAATTTTGTTCATAATTCTAGTTAATATTTTGGGTTCAAATCATCATAAATACTCTTTCAAACAATCTATATGTTTAAAAAATAGTTTTTGGTACAATTATACTGTTGTTACTGGTTCCATTTTGTTCATGCGGCTACGGTAATAAGTTACCCCATGAGAACAACAATGGCTACAGTTTCATGAGAACAGATGAAGGTTAAATGTTTACTTCTTGTATTCTTGCTTGAAAAATAAACCCCACCATACCTGCTTCTAGCATGCTTACTGAGCCACATTATTGTTTCCCAATTACCTGTCCTCTGCCACTGACTTTCCAAGTAATACAAAGTACACAGAGTCAAATATCTAAGAGGCATCAATCCAGCTACCACATGAGATTGTCTAAAATTACTGCCTTCTGATTTTCTTTTCTTCCTTCCTTTTGGGCATCTCTGATTTGATGCATGTAAAAAGTCAGTTATGAAAATCAAGGAAATAATGGGTGTTAGACATCATATTAACTTACATACTTTGCTAATTCTCTCTGAGTGCATCTACACATGCATATTAATGTGGTACAATAAACTCCAGTGCAATGGGCACTGCGTGCACCAGGGACAACGGCATGTTAAACTGGGCCAGAGCAGCCTTGACTGGCAAGGGATACAGAGTGTCAGCTTGCCAGCCCAGGGCTGCTGCAATCCAGCTCAACATGCTGTGGAGGGGCTGGCTGGGGCACAAAGGTGTTCCAGTGTGAGGCTAGCCAGCAGGTAGCTCCCACACTGGAGCACCCTCGTGTACCAGCCAGCTGTGTCAGCATCTACACATACAGGGCTGCAGATTAAAAAACTCTGCAACAGGATAGTACTTGTATTTACAAGTACTACCCTACTGCAGAGTTTATTAGTTTACTCCAGCCCAATAGCCCTGCATGTGTGGATACCAAGACATTTATTGTGGAGCTAAATAGTCTACTCCACAGTAAACACACTCAGTACCTAGACATCTTTGAAAATAAGGCCCTGAGTATCTCCTAGTATATGAAACGCCTAACGTGGCAAACTGGGTTCAAATAAATATAGCTGCACGTGCAGAAAGATGGCATGATTATTTTTAGAAGAATGTTTGTTGTATATTGGCATCCATGTGGATTCTGGTAATTTATTCTCTGAAAGGGTATTTATGCAGTTTGTCTTTATGTTTGCCACCCAATAACAATACCATTAATGCATGAAGGTTGGTGCAGGCTGAAATATTTCTATAGAATTTGGCTTTACTGGAAGGCTTGGCAGTTATTTACTGTTGTGTCAGGAGAGACAGAATTTGGAGCTTATTATTGAACACTGTGCAGACAATTGGGTGGTGTGATGGAAGATCATAAGGAATTCTCTATCTCTCAAGCTGTCTTTCATAGTTGCAGCTTTGATGCAGAGCTGTTTGATAATGTGGCAGGACCCCATCTGACTAGGGATTTAAAAAATAGTCAGATAGCACTGATCAGGTGTTTTTTCCAATCAGTAGCTCTGGGAACCATCATGAATGTTGAAAGAAAATAAACCTTTCCCATTGGCTAATGGAATGTTGGCCTTGGGCCCCACATATAATATGGCAGCCAGAACAGTGGTCCCAGCCCTGACAGTAGGGCTCAAAGTATTATTGCACTTGGTCTTTATTTTTCCCCGGTCTCTTCAGCTGCTGCTACTAGCAAACCCCCATGGAAAGCCATACGGGACACATTCCTGCAAGTGGGCATTCCCTGGAGATAAATAGCAGCAGCACATATTATTGCTGCTGCTAGCTGTCACCAGGGACTGCCCCTACACATGCACTCTGGCATGCAGCAAGTTGCCTCAGGTGGGGTAGGAAATGTTGGGGCTAGCACCTGGGCTACCTCAAGTCCTGGGGGCCTCCCAGGGCTCCAGCAGTGGTAATCTGGGCATGCAAAGCCTGGCAGGCAGCTGGAGCATGGCTTTTGCAGGCCAGGCTGCAGTTTTGGGTGGGGCATGCTGCCACCACATACACCACACTGCTTTTTTCTGGTGCAGGTTTTTTTTACATCAGGATCTCCTGATGTAAAAAAAAATGCTGCACTGCACTGCAAATTAACAGCATTATGAATGCCTGCATGTGTGGTGTGTGCAGTTTGCAGCACCACAGGTGGGCCAGCGACACCGCAAACCACACATGCACATTCATGGGGATGTGTCCATGGATTCATGAACAAGTATTCAGCAGATTCAGGACCCTTGATTCATTTACTAGGGAATTTTATTATGAGATTTTCCTGATCTGCATACTATATTTTCCAATGACAAGTCAGGCTACTTGTGCATGGGCTTTGCAACCCCATTGCTTATCCTCTTTTTTCATTGGTCTTCCTGTAGGCAAAACAGGGGGTTTCATGGACTTGCATCAGTGGCAGATTAATCCTATCATGTGCAATTAATTAAAAATAACCCGCTCAGAGTTTTGAACAGTCTCATGAATATAGTGAATATAGCTCTGAGAACAATTGAAATTTAGATGAAGCAGCAAGCCAAAATATTTTTTTTTATTTTTTCTTCTCAGCAGAAACAAAAAAACAAGAGTTTGGGGTTAAATGAAATAGTTCATTTTATCTTTTTTGATAAAAATCAAGACGTTTAATTTTGCTCTAGATATTCTTAATGCTTAGCAAATGTATAATGTAAACATTTTAAAATAAAAGTCAGGTTGAAGAGAAACAGTGAGATGTTCTGGTCCAGCTTTATAGAAAAGCCCTTTTTCAATCCCTGTTTTCCCAAAATAAAATTTCATCACAACCAGCATAGTTCCAATGAAGCAACATTTTACCGGAGACAATTTTCCATCAGAATATTTTCAAACAGTTCAAATGAGGAGTGAGTACTTGATGTTATTCTGTCTGGATAGTGCCCTTCTCTCAGACCAGAAGAACTGCCTGTACAGCATATTTTGTAGGCTTTGACCCAGTTGTATTGCTGTGAATATGCCTTCAGTTAGCAACTGAGCCCTTGTCAAGGACAGAAGTGAATTTGAAAACAGTCTTTTATTCCAAATATCTTAACAGGATATTTTCTTATATTAGGGGTCATGACATATTTGTGTAGACATTCGAGTAGGGAAAAATTCCTGATTATGACTCTACACATTGCAACTGGAAGTACTTCTGGCCCAAGTGGTTGAGATAGTTTACAACTTCTCCCTGAGAAAAGAACATCAGGATTATTATTATTAAGTCCCAACTAAGTGGTCCAGTACATTGTTCTTTTTCTGACTTGATGCCACGTTCATGACTGATGCTTGTTTATTTGTGTAAATAAAGCAGTGACTTTGGCCTGCCTCTGATGGCGTGACTCTTGAGTCAATGATGAAATGGGACAAGGGGAGGATGTGGGACATGCCAATGTTAATGAAGATTTATTCAGTGGTGACACTGGATCAGATCTACTGGGTGAAGCCTTGGATTTCATTAGTTAAAGACACAGCGCAGTCTGTCTGATTAAAGAGAGAAAAAGCAGTAGGGAGCTCACATAAATTACTACAGCTCAATTAGGTACAGACAGCTTAGTGAGTGTTTATTACCAGTTGAAAGGAACATTTTCCAATTAGATTAAAAGGTTTTGAAAACAACAGTTATAGCGCACAGTGATTTAGACCCATTGGTAGAATAATACATTGTGAGAAACAGCATTGATTAAAAGTAAACTGATAAGTTATTTGCACTGCCTCATTGTTTATCAATGGAGCCCCTGCTGCCAAGGTAAAATTTACCTCACAAGATCAATGGGTGGACTTGGCTAATTTTCTCCTTGGCCTGAAGATTTATATGAATGTAAAGGGCAGCTAAATCACCACTGAAAATACCAAGATGATTTATTTGGGGTAATCATCAAGGAAGCGAAGTTACATAAATCATCGGGAATGTATCTTTGCCATGCTGGGCCCTTCAGGCTGGCATCCCTGCTGCAAAGCTGCATTTAAAAAAGGGGATTTTAATCAGAGAGGAACTTGATTCCAGTAAGGTTTCATAAGCTCATTGTGCAAACTGAAAAGGCATTAAAACAAAAGTGGAAGTATATAGAGTGCTCAGAGAGTGGTCAATCAGTGTTGCTGACAATTGATTGAAGGTACTTAGTGTACAGTATAAGCCCATGATTCATGAACCCCTATGTCCTACAGTGCAGAATGTGACTTCCAGCAGTGCTGAGCTAGCTGGAATTCAGGTCTGCTTTGCCAAAGGTTTTTTGGATATGGACTGTGAAAGGTAGGGGGTCATTCTCCATGGCTGAGAATGACTGATTGTTTCCCATGTGGAATGGAGGGGGGAGAATGAAAGAAAAGAAAAGAAAAGAAAATGAATGATATCTAAATTCCTCATTGTCCTACTGTGCCCTTCAGATCACATGGAGGCTTGCAGCTGCTTCTAATCCCTGTCTCCCAGAATTGTTTATTACAAAGGCTGAAGGAACCGAGACCAAAAGAAAGAACTCTGACTTAAAATGTTCACTTTAATCCAGCTACATAGAGTTGTACATTTCAACTTTTCTTCCTTGTGTTTGTTGTTGTGTGTGTGAACAGGCTTCAGATAAATCCAAATGTCATAGCACTGATGCCCCTTCCTATCTTTATTTTTTCTCTTTATTGCATTTGCACATGCAGGATTTCCCCTTTGTTAACATATTTTCCTTACCTCTGGGTTTGAATCAATGCTATTAAAGATGATGGCAAAATTCCTACTGGCAGCCCCGGAAACAGGATCAGGCCTTCTTTTCATTTAATTTATCTGGCCTTCACCAACAAAAAAAGCGCAGGAACACTAGATACAGTTCTGTTTCATGGAGGGCTGAAAGCTAGGGATGGAACGAAACAATTGTTATTATTTGCACATACTGTATGAGCTAAAGATTTCCCAGACACACAGGAAGACACACACAGGCTGCCCTGAAGAGCTCACTGAGCCACTTTTATAAACAGGCAAGGCAGGTGGTCGACAGAAGCTGAAGCAAATGTCCATTTTGCACGCACAAGATACTGTTTGCATGTACACATGTGAAGGTACATGTGCTAGTTCACAATTCCTGTGCACATAAGTGTTTCTGTTTTTTAGAAATGTGCTGAACTGAGGGCAACGTTGGAGCACTTACACAAGTAGTCCACTGCCTTCAGTGGAAGTGCTCCACAGTTTATGTAAGGTTCACACAACCAAGCCCTAAATCATCTAGTACTCCCCTTGTCCTGTGCAGGATTACTGTCATCTCCATTATAATTCTGAGCGCTTCGTCCTGTATTTCTTTTCCACATTTTACGAGATGTCACCGCCCCAATCGCAAATACTTTTCACCGATGCGACCACTAACTATTTCACTTCAGAATAAGGTATATTCAAATCCTATCCAGGCACCCCATCTACTATTTTCTCCCATTTCAAACGGCTCCTGGTGAATAAAATGCATGACATTCCTTAACACAGCAAAGTCCTGGGGGTTTGCAAAACTGGGTTTTAGGTTTGTTTTCCTTATAATTAGAAGGGCTTGTCATTTAAGGCAACAATTAACATTTGTTGTGAGCAACTTGACTGTAAATGACTCCTACTATTACACTAAATACATTATCGGTGCATAGCAACCTTTTGTAACATTGTACCCTAGCATCCATTTTCGCTTAATTAAACTCATTATAGCCGCACTTCAGAACATAAAAGGAGTAAAAGGCAAAATGGGTGTAAGTGAAAATTCCTCAATTAATTGTTCTCAAAATAAAGGTCATAATGGAAAATATTAAATATTGTTCTTATTAATTTATATTATTAGTATTATTTTAACAATGTTCTTTTAAGAAAAGGCTGGAAAAAAAGCTGTAAAGAAACAAAAGAACTCTCTGTGGTTCTTTAAGGGTCTTGTATCTGCTTATTTACACTTGAGAGAGAGGTGTGTGGGTGCCTCAGAGCCCCAGAAACCTCTGAAAAGCAGTGTCTGTGGCAGTCTCATGAGAACCCAAGTAGTCTTCTGTGTCCTGGTTTTCTTTTTTGAGAGCGGTAAGGCAAGCTAAGCAAATGCTTTACTGCCTGTGTGCAAAATCAATTGTACTCAAACCAGTAAACTCTGAATGTTTACTGTCTTCAATATTGTAAAATCAGAGTGTAGTAACACAAGCGAATGCAGCAACTTTCAATAGGTTTCTGGGATTATTTGCCCTATTTATTTGCATCATCCCCTGCCAGCTTTAACCTGTTTCTGTGACAAATTATAGACAACTGGCACATTGGTGACGTGTAAGGGGTGCACACAGGTGCACATGCACCCTCTAAGCGTGGCAGTGCACCCTCTACGAAAAGGCGCTGCCGACACTGTCAGCCGTGCCTGTGGGCAGTCACCACTTGCCAACCCCGCTCCACCCCGCCACTGCCAGTGTCTGCGGGAGCTCCCCCGCTTACCACCATTGTGCTCTCACTGCTGCTGCTAGGCTCCCGCTGCCACCAGAGCCGCCATGCCCCCCAGGCGCCAGGGGGCACACATTGTTCATGAACTGGCATCTGCTTTGGGAAGGGCCCTACACTTGCAGTTCCTGAGGGAAGCCCTCAGAGTTCAGAGGTTTCTTGGTACATGATCCATAAATTTAGACTAGGGGCATGATATGGGTATTTCCACATAAAACCTAATAAAACCCACTAAAATGCATACAGTGATGTCTCACACACTAAGATACCTAGACCCTGCCAATCTACTGCCTCATGGAAGCAACAGGTACTTTGGGAACTGGTAATAGTCATTTTTCAACAAAACGGGTGCCTGTTAGATAGACTTGGAGTCCCACAATAAACAGCCTTGGAGTCCCAGCAGGAAGTGCCTGAAAATAGGCATAGTGTGTTTAAGTATGAGGTGCATAAAAGCCCAAATTGAGACCAATGAATGATTATTTGTTCTGTAATGATGTGCCTGGCCTGAAAAATCTGGATCTGGATTTGGCTCCCAGCAAGTGTCAGAAGTTCACGGATCCAGACTATTGATCCCATTTTCAAAATTCAAATCCATTCAAAAGCAAATCCTCCTTTCTCTCATATGGGATTACTTGGACAGGCTGAAAAATCACCCACTGTGCAATAGTGGGGAAAGCTTCTGAGCATTTTGCACTACTAAAATTGTTTCTTGCTTTCGAATTGTAGTTATTCCTAGGTCATTTTGAACCCGTGTTGGTTTTCTAGAACAAGAAAACTTTACATTCTTCATTAGTGGTTCACAAGCAGACATAGAGCACCTGAAGATTATGTATTTTTGTCCACAGTTTTCAGCATACTATTTTGCTGCATACAAAAACATGCTCACAAGACATAAAGGAAGATAAATATAGGAGTGGGAAGATTTGAATTTTTAATCCCCACTGAATCTAGATGACTCTGAAATAAAGTTAAAAGAATCCCAAGTGCAAATGAATTAATCTTCAACCACAATTTCACACGAAGGAAGGAGCAACACAAATATTATTTTATTTTATATTTACCTACCGTGTTGTTTGAAAAAGTTAGCATAGGATTTTAAATGGGGGTATTTTCAAAGGGATATTTGAAATGTACAGGCTTAAATCCTGTTATTTATAACAGGATTTCTGCATGTAAGTCCTGTGCGGTGATTGAAAATTCGCCCCTTTTCTCTTTCTACTCTTAATCACGAGGTCAGAGTTAAACTGCAGCCTGTCAGTATTTCTAATGAATATGTTTTACATATCCTACTTGCTTGCTTGCTCAGCAACAGCCTGTGCTATCTGGAGGCCAAAGATAAGTGCTCAGGGATTACCTTTAAAACAATCACCCAGCCTTTCTGTCACGAAGAGCAGGAACTCAGAACAAAACTAACTCTCTGTAATCCTTACTTTTGTGGACTGGCCAAATTTTAACAATTGAAGGTTCAGAAAGAGCCCTTGAAAATCAGTTTCAAAGCTCAATCAAAATACCGTAGCTATATTACAACGTCAGGATGCCTATTCCAGAAAAACTCCTAATTTTCTATATTTTACTAGCTTGACCATTTCATATTGCTTCAGAGTGGAGCCTGTGGCAAAAGCTGGCAAAATGGATACTGTATCTTTTAATTGTTCTTTTCTCAAGAAAGCTGTCTTCAACTCTGACCCATCAAATATGTATTTGATTTGTCTGGTACTCTGCACTTTGCCTATCCTGTATATCAGCATCAAAATGGAGGACA